ACGTAACGTACGTACGTACGTACGTTACGTTAACGTTACGTTACGTTACGTTAGTTACTTACTTACTTACTACTACTACTACTACGTCTCTCTCTCTCTCTCTCTCTCTCTCTCTCTCTCTCTCTCTCTCTCTCTCTCGCCCCCCTCCTCCCTCAAAGGCCATCATCAATTGACTCAGATCCAGCAGTCACAATCAGCTCAATTGACTCAGATCCCGCAGTCACAATCAGCTATTGTGGGAAAAGAAAATGGGCTATCAAATAACCAAAAATATATGCAACCAATGGAATATCACTGACTCCTCAGAGGCTCCAACTGACACACTTCACTTGGCAATGTGTTTTCCCCAGCTATCACAGAGACCAACATCTCTATATCTCTCAACTTAATGAAAATTCCTGATCCCAAACAAAAAAACAATTCACTGCTCAAAGCTAACCCCAACAACACTAATAACTTACAACAGCGCAAAATATCCATAGACCACATAGATTGATAATATTAAACCAACAGATGGGAAATGATTAGTCGAATTGATATAAATACAGGTTTAAACTTCAGAAGCACAAATTGTTTACAAATGGAAACAAAATGATTCTGCCTAATCACCAACATGTACTGCTGAAGCAAACACAATCATTTAGGACATCACCAAGAATTTTAACACAGGGCATAAAGCTCCCCTGTCCCTAATAATAGAACTATAAAAGAGCTCGGATGACAAAGTTATTCATCCCATACTCTAGCAAATCCTCCAGAAGTACCTCGTCTGGCAGAGTGAGACCCTTCAAAATTTCAGTACACGCGCTTTAAGTATTAACTGTTGCCCCTTTCATAGCGTTCAAGACCCAAATCATAAATCATTTACTTGGAAGAAAGGTTTTAAAATTCATCCAAGACAACTGACTAAGCCAAGTTATTAGGACCGGGCACTTTGCCGATCCAAATACTGGGTACACACTCGGACATATAAAAAGAACTATAAAATCCTATTTTTTTTTACTAAACCAATGCATATATATGCTTTATTTTTCTAGTTTCCCACTTTATGGATTTTTCTGAATTGTTTCCAGCTATCAATCAATTTTCCCAAATTCCATCTTTTAGCTTTAAGTTGGCTTAGTCCAAGCTTTATTTTTAAGTTAGCTTGAATTTTCCCAAATTCCATCCTGCTATAAATCAATTTTCCTGAGTCCAGAGCATGAGCCAATTTTTAGCACGCTGCTTCAAAGTCATACAATGCCAATTCAAACAAGTAACAGAAGTCGCTAGAGGCCTGCCAACTTACAGGCCACATTTTTCTTGAAGAAGTACTTATGATTATAAAACCAGTGACTAATGAGAGAAGTCATAGCATCTTCAAAATGCATTGAACAAGCACCTATTAGTAGGACCATTGTATTCAGATTGGAAAGTACATGCAAAAGTCCGATATATCATTAACATTTAGAACTACTAATCATTACTTTGGAAAGCTAATATTTTGCACAAATTTAACATTAGGATTTGACATTTCAATGGCAGTCCACCACTTTGCATTGCTCTTTTACAGTCAATCCAAAAAGACCCATTCAGCTGTTTCTAGATTGGCTGCTAAAAATCGTAATAGCGAGCCACACCTAGCAAAATTAAATTTTTAAAAGCAGAAAAACACACCCTAAACCATACAAGGAAAAAGCCTCCTCAATAGCAAATAAAAACATTAAACAATAGTATGTCCCCTTGCTCCTAAGATTAATTGCTGCAGCCACCTCAGGATATGATATAGAAGTAAGAGCACCAGGAAGCAGCAGTCTCCCATTAGTTTTAGGGTTCCTTGCATGTCTAAAAAGCATCATTTGCAAAACAAGCAGTGCCTAAGGTAGAAAGTTTCCAAAGGAGGTGCGTTTGATTATTAAATTAACCACAAAGAGTGGATGTCAGGCAGGACTCAAAATGCCTTTTGAATAGGCTTATGATGCGATGTTGTGCATATACCAGTCAAACAAGTATCCTACAAATGAATGAATCGCTTCAATCGACATCGCTCATTTTCCACTCTCATTTTAGCCTATCAAATGATAAGGCCATTTTGAGAAACACTAGGGGAGGTCAAATTTAGACTTAAAACCAGACATAGGAATATATCAAATTGTAGGGCAAAGCACACTAATTCTTCATTCTTGTTTTGAATAAAACTGCTGATATTTATTTTCAAAATACAAAACATTATCAATGTTGAGACAGGGTAACGTATTTGTTTATAGTCCTGATTTTGTTTCTCTGCTAGACCATAAGAATTTTTAAGCTATTATAAAAACTCCAACATCAAGAAAGAAAAAGACATAATAATTCATACAAAATGATTGAGAAACAACTCTCCAATACATCAAAACCAAAATATTTTCTGGAAACTCAGGCAAAAGTGTCAACTCAAGACTATACTTCAACCCAAAAAATAAAGGACATCTCAATTGCATCAACAAAATGAAATGCTAAAAGTTGTCACAAATAGGTACAAAAACTACCTTACCAGATGAAAATTTAAGTTTATAAGCTAAAAAGCATGCATTTTTCACACCAAAAAACAAAATTAGCCACATGCACATAATTGATAAAATCACAAACACAGAAGGAGAAATGATGTCCTTCCCTTGTGTATTAGACAATCAAGGACAGATTCCTCAATAACGACCAATGTATTAGAAGGCCTGAGAGGACCAGGGGTTCTCCTTGCCTAGACACAGAGATGATGCCAAGGCTGTCTCACCTCAAGCCCGAGACCCATGTCCAAAAACATGGAGAAGTTTAGGGCTGTTCACAAGATTTTAAAATTTCAGCTTATTCTTCTGAAAAAAGGATTAGATTGTTTATCTATTGATAAATTTCTACTGATAAATTGTCTCTATTTATACTAGTGTAGGAAAAATTGGGCGGTTAAAATTCTAACCGCCCAGTTAGAGTGGCCGGTTCCGGTTTCGACCGTTTTCGGCGAACCAACAGGGTATTTTAAAAAAATTCAAAACAATTAATATAAAATCCCAAAAAATAAGGGATTTTGTTTGTAATGCATTTTTTAATGTTTTCCATCATTTTGGAAAATATTTGAAATTGTTTTGGTCATTAATACTTATTTTTACATTTTCCATCTTTTTTAAAAAAATTCAAAAATATCTTTGGGCACAAATCGATTCTTTAAAACCCAGTTTTTCATTAATTTTCAACTTCATTTGGATGTGCTTTGTTGAATCATGCTTTAAATATACTTTTCGTATTTTATTAGATTTTTTTGGTATTTCTTTTAACACTTTTTTGACCGTCCGGGACTTGCCAGTTAGGCCGGTTGAACCGCTTCCGACAGGATGTTCAGTTAACCGTTCCGATTCGATTTTTCCTACACTGACTTATACTAGTGAGTCTGATAGTGTGTCACTGTACGTGTGACTCTGAGTATGAGTCAACACGAAACTATCAACAATAGTATTCAACCAAATCCATAAAACCATTAGAGATATATAGATAGCACCCTCGCATTGCCATATGCCAATCAAACAAAGGTTAGATGCAATTTGATTTTTTAGGGGGAGAAAACACCAATCACTAAAGAATAAATTGCACGAGTGCATAGTGGGTTGGGTGGTGTTGGGGGCTTGAGATATCACTTCAATGTCCTTGACCAGGGGAAATGATCAAAATGCCCTTTACTAGAGGGCATTTTCCACCATTAAGTATAGAAAAGCTGAGGTGGGTGCCTGAGTTCAAAGGCACAAGGTGCCCACCTAAGCACAGGAGGAGGTGGCAGATCGCTTTGAAGAGGCGGGGTGGCTGTCATTCACATTCCCTTAAGGAGACCAACTTCAAAACATTGATAATGACTACAAAGGCCAAAATGTAAAATAATAAAAAGAAAAGCGGCATATATAATGCGGTGCGCGCACAATATAGCACAAATTAAAAATTCAAAAGCCCATAAGTTCCATGCTTTCTAGAAATAGCAGCATGAGATTCTTGCTTCAGCCAAAATATATTATTGATATAATGACAATGACTATGATAAGGACAATACCAGTTCAACTATTATAAATAGGAACATGCCTATCATCCAGTTGCTCCAAACCAGAAAACTTGAACTAAATTTGAATCTAACCAGTTCAAAAGACCAGTCCAATTGTAAAGATAGGATTAAACAACCCACTAGCTGAAGAGTATGTCTGGTCGAAACCAGTTTGCGCAGTCTTAAAAACTAATTAATAAATGAATAAATATTTAAAGAGATTACAAATAATCCAAAATATCTCAAGTCAGTTCAACAGGTTGGGCACCGCCTGTTTGGTTTTTTTAAACTTTTTGGGATTTGACAAAACCCAGGCATTTTAGGCCCAGTTCCTGATCCAGCAGGTCAAACTGATAAGCAAGGTTTCAAAAAACGGTCCGCCCGACGCCTAGACGGCTTGAACAAAAAAACCGCACACCTCAACCCAAGCAACCCTACACGGGCGGTTGTACCTGGGCGGGCGCCCAGGGCCCAGTTCTGGTGGGCGCCCAGAGCTGTAAGGCATTTTTCGATTTTAAATTAGCCCAAAAGGGAAGGGGATCATTTTGACCCCCAAGTTTGTATAAAAATGTTATAGGGTTTATTTTTGAACCCCCAAAGTGAAAAAAATAAAAAAGAAACCCTCAATCTCTAAACTTATTGCACCACAGGGCGCCCAGAAAACTTATTGCACCACAAGCAGGCCGACTAGTGTTTTTTGAAACCTTGCTGGCAAGTTGAGTTCAATCGTTACAACATCTCCCTAGTTAGAACCAATATGACGGTGCCAATTTTTCTACCAACGGTAGAAAAAAAAGATCGTGTCAATAGATCATTACTAGTTTGAATGAAATCATGTAATAAGCCACAACATTTTTTCTCAATCTTTCAATTCAAACAGTGTCAAGTGGAGGGAATAGCTATTGTATTAAGATTAGACTAACCATCCACTTTTCAGAGGGGTCCAGTTCCTTACACATTTGGTAATGGCAATATTCCCAACAAGTGCCACAAACAATTAGATTGGACTAGATAAAAATACTGAAAAGCCATGTTTTCAATCTGCCACAATGTTGTTAACACTTGTGTTGACAGATCTTAATCATATTTTTAACTCGTCCATGTTTGACTTGACCTTTAAAAACACAAAAGTTTACCTTCCTCTCAAGTTTTGGAGTACTAGAAATACTTGTTTCTTCTCCCATATCAGATAAACGTTTTGCTGAGGTCTTCATTTCATGGCATGAACTACAGATATCTAATAAATTATTTACATAAAATGGACATTATGAACGGACATAAATCTCAACTTAAACAAAACTATTTATGTTATCAAAGAACACAAGCTTCTGATGAGGCACAAGATTAAGGGAACTAGAAAGTGAATAACTTGAGAAAAGAGAACAAAAAATCCATGCTTTTAACTAACATGAAGAATTACTGAAAGCAAAGAAAAATATCAAGAAATTTAAATAAATAAAAAAAAACAAGCACTTCAAATTGAATCCAGTCTGAAATTCCTTCAGACGGGATCTCAATCTAAGTGCTTCCTTTCTTCATTATCATTTACCAGGCCCTTGGATCTCATTTAATATATTTAAAGTTTCAAGTATCATAACAGAATCTTTTCTTCACAAAAATGCATAGAGAGAAAGAGAAGAAGAAGAAGAAGAAAACAAAGGAAGATCAGGTGCAGAGGAGTCAGAGACACCAATGAGGACATGTATGTAGCCAAAAACATACTCTAATTATTGATCGCACTGATAAAACAGATCCTGAACTAAATATCACCACAACAAGCCATCAAAAGTTATTAGAACCTGAACAACAAACAATGAACATGTAAATGCAATAAAAAGTAAAGTTAATGTTTCCTGATCATAAATTAGCCACGCAAACATCATGTGCTTTAATTTTACCTAAATTGGCAAAAAAATCATCCTTTAATCAATTTGATGCAACTTTGAACCACTAAACCTCAACAAAACAAAGAGTATTTTTACAAGCACGACTTTGACCTGCCATATCCTAGATCCAAATCCAAAAATAAAACCAAACTCCTGAAACCTTGTATGAACCGTATTTTAACAAACTTCTCTCCAAAAAAAAACCGTACTTCAACAAACATAAAAGAAAGAATAAGCACCAAATTACAGGATCAGATTCAGAAGAGATCATAAATTAGATCATCTACAATAACAGATACAAAGCAATTTTTAAGTTCCATATCATTAGAGAGAAATCACACACAAAAAAAAAACCCTAACCTGGAGGGTCCTGGTTGCGAATTCCACACCAATCGTTGATTTTGACTCTAAACAGAATTCATTACGAGTAAACCTAGACAAGATGTTCGATTTCCCGACACCTGAATCTCCAATAAGAACAATCTTGAACAGATAATCATACTCATGATCAACCTTATGAGCCATCCCTCTTTTGTCCTCAACCGCTCAATACTGCATCAAAGCCGCTAAATTTGTTCAGACAACCGCTAAAATGGTCCACAAAACCACTTGAATGGAGAAAACAACACCTTAAACGGCCAACAAACCACTCAAACGGCGAAGGAAAAACCACCTGATGGGCAGAAAACCAGCAGAGATGAAAAAAAACGGTAAAGGAAAAACCGCCTGAGGGGCAGAAAACCAGCAGAGATGAAAAAAAAAAAACAGTTTTTTTTAGGAAAAATCGAGAACGCAAGTTTGACGAATGATAGGGGACGGAGTTCAATAGTGGAAAGAGGAAGGTTGATGAATTTTTAGAGAGAGAGAGAGAGAGAGAGGTAGGTCTACTAAGTTAGTAACGAACGAAACCGAACGAAAGTGGAGGAGAGAGATAGAACGTCTAGTAA